AAGTTCATGTGTGTTATAGTATCCGGCTCATACTTAGTTGATCTTTTACTATGGGATGGGTGACCAACATTTGGCTGCTACTACGGGTGATGACTGGATTAGGATTAAACATTTCTTCCCTCTCTACTTCTCCCTCCGTCTTTTTTCCTTTCTCTCCTCCTCTCTCCTTCTCTCTCCTTCTCTCTCTCTCTCCCTCTCTCTCTCTTTATCTATCTACCTTCTCTCTCTCTTTCTCTCTCGATTTCTCACTCTCTCTCTCTCTCCTCCCCCTCCACCACTCTCTCTCTCCTCATTCACTTTGTTTCCCTCTCTCTCTTTCCCTCACTTGGCATATGACTAACCCCTTCTCCCCTCACTTGGTACATTGCTAGGGTGCGAACGGTAAGAAGGGATCAGACCTCACTTGGTGGAGAAAGAGGGCAAGGGGAGGGTAGCCGGTCCCTTGTGCCACCAAGAAGGCAAAGAAAAAGGACGTTGGAAAAGTGAGAAAGGACGAGGTCTGGAGAAAGTGAAATATTAAGCAAGGGTCAGTTTTGACTCAACCATTTCCCCGACTGCATGACTATGAAAAGACAGTGGGCTAATTGAGCAACGAAATAGAACAAAAGAGCAGCCAAAGAGCTTGAAAAAGATAGGCATGTGGGAAGGGTTATGTGTTGACCCCCAACGGGGGATTGTATGGATCTTTGCTTTGTGTGGGATTGTGCAGGTGAGTGAGGGCTAAGGATGCCTTAAGCAGGATGGGCCGGGAGGAACCGGGCACCAAGAGGGAAAAGGAAGAGGGACAAATGGGCTACGGGACCCTAGCATGAAACCAACCCATGAAAATTACCTTTGCCTTTTGAGATTTGGAGGGTAGATGAGAAAATGAAGCGCAATCTTGCCAAGGGGAAAGGGGATGGTATGCGTGCATGAATATAAAGGCCCCGAAAAGACTAAGGGGCCTGCGACAATGAAGTTGATTAAGATGCATGAGGCCCAACAGGGGCATAGAGGCGAGGGGTAAGACGGCTTCGCCGCACCGCGATGATGCCGTAGGCACACAAGGTTTAGGGAAATGGTGTTCGGCCTAAGGATGACGCTTAGCCTGCGCACAAAGGAAGAAAGACTCTCAAAGAACCCTTGGACTACCTGCGTATTGGAAAGAGCAATCGCTTGGTAACACAACTATGAATCGCAAAAAACAATCAGCGCTACGGAATGACCAGCGAGACTACCACCCGGCGTGAGGGTTGAGCTACATCCCCAATGTCAAGGCGCTCTCGCGTGATGGCCCACCCCCATCCATCTCAAAGCACTAGGCGGGGGTGACCCTGGGACGAATGGCCCGCGCCCTGAGCATGAGTGTGGGCAGGCCGAGCCGACTGGGACCTGCAGTGGGGTCGACTAAGGCTCGAAAGTCTACCGGGGTTTGGCCCCACACCGGTCAACGCCTGGTCAAGTCTCCCGGTCGGCTATTGTTGCCGACTTCTCCTTCCTCACCACCCTTCTCCTTCCTTTCTCCTTCCTCGCCACCTTTCTCTTCACCCCGGCTGTCTTTTTTTTTTTTTTTTTTTTTTTTTTTTTTTTTTTTTTTTGATCGCCTCTCTTTTCACCTTCTCGGCTATGACTTCTCTCTCCTTTCTCAGTCTCCTCCTCCGCCTTCTTTCTCAACCTCCTTTGTTACTCTGTGGTCAAGCTCCGCGGCTATGACCGCCTCTCACTTCGTGGGACTGCACGACACACTTTTACAGGTAAGTGACAACCAAACTTGTATCCCTCATCTCTCTTCTCTCTCTCTCTCTCTCTCTCTCTCTCTCTCTCTCTCTCTCTCTCTCTCTCTCTCTCTCTCTCTCCGTAGCGATATCTTCAACGCAGAAACGTGGTAAGCCAATCTTGTATCGCTCCACCTTTCTCTCTCCCTCTCTCTCTCTCTCTTCCTCTCTCGATCTTCTTATTCGTCGTGGTCTTCTCTGCAGGTAGGCGCGACGGCTTCTGCAACCTCGGTATCCGCTATGGCGGACTTCTTCTTCGTCGGCCACTTCTCTATGGCACATCACTTCCCTGCGACATACAGCGCGCCGCGTGGAATAGCGGGTACCAGCTTTGATACCAATGCAATCGGACTTGCTTTCATTCCCACTTTACATGCATGCAAACAGTAGCGCAACAAACTGGCGACATGCGCCCACTCAGTACTCAGAGATATGGCAACCCAGATACGAGTTCACTTCCAATGACTATGGCGAACTAGCGCCCATACAACTCTCTGTTCGCATACAGTGGATCACCCTGGATATCCCACACGCGTCTCTCTGAATATTCACACACACACACACACTGAACACCAACTACAGTTATGGCGGCTATGGCCGCCTCTACCCTATCGCTATGGCTAAGCTTCGTCTCTCTGACCACTTCGTCTTCGGGCTCACTGCAGACCTCCTTGCATAAGTCGCTGTGGCGGCGCTTCCGCATGGCTCACGCAGGAATGAATGAATGGCTGGGCGCTGCCTCTTGATTTATACTTCTGCAGTGCGTTGGTCTGGCCCTTTTCCATGCCCGAAGTGCACACAGTCCCATGCGGTACTTGCTGGACTGAACCAGGACTGCCTAGGACTGGGAGTGCTGACTCAGCACGGGTAGACTCCACCACTTGCCTTACCACTTGCCCACTTGCCTCAGCCTAAGCATGGGACACTCCGAAAGGTCACTACTCAGACCTTCCGGAAGGCCGTAGACTTGGCCTTTCGGTCCTGTAGCAGCTACGGCTTCGACACTTCTGGACCCTGACTCTTCGAGAAAGCTATAGCTACGACTTCTGGACCTGACTAGGACTCCTATTCGACAGGTCTACAGATCGAACCCTGGCTACCTATGGACCCTACGACAACCTATCACTGTTACAAATACACAAGTCGCAGGTTCAACTCTAGGGGTCGACACAAATACTGTACACAGGTAAGGTGGGAACTAGGGATCGAGCCCTGGGATATGCATCAGCTACTGCGAATTGGTGAATACCGTTTCAACAGCAAAAAAAGCCAAAAAAAAGGGAAATTGTCGCTGGTACACCGCACGGTGCGGTTGCAAGTATGACATACGTTATGAACTTGGTTGTCCGACGATTTTTACCGCCACTCACACACAAACAGTCTCATACACGCCCATACATGCATAAGAGAAGGGGGAGAGGAGACAAAGTCCAAACTGTACACAGATCAGAGTATGTAGCGGAAGTTCAGCCATGCACAGATGGGGAGAAGACACTGCGTGATTCTCACTCTCTTACAAACTCCCAACAACCAATCACAAGAAGAAACCTGCGAGGATAACAATTGGAATTCACACTGATGATGAGCCAATTAGACCAAATATCGTTACAGAGTTTGTTCCAGTATCTCGCCACACTCAGAACCCCACACTCCACTCTCTACCCTACTCCCAGTTAGTAGCGCACAACCGAAACAGCCTCCCAGAGGCCAGCGCCAACCACCCAGATGAAGAACAGATCCTGCGATGGAGTCTTCAGTGCCGATGGACAACTCTGACAAAAAAACAGGCAGCTATGGTTGCCGCCACCCACAAGCACTCAATGAAGAGCCTCAGCATAGCCTGGCTTGAAGCAGATACCACCAGGGTAGATGCGCTAAGGGTGCCCTAGCTCCGGCAACCTTCAGAAGGGCCAACTATGGCCGCTGTCCTAGGCAAGGGTCTTAGGATGCCGCCTGTAGACAATTGCCACCGCCAACTTGCTTGGCTTCTCCAAACGCTGCTGCGCGAAAAATCAACAGCCAAAAGTCCTAAACAGTCCTACCCCAACCTACTTGTAGATTCTACACTACCCTAGCCTAGGACCTACCGGTACCGTTTCAGTTAGGGCCTGCTCGACCTCTACGAAATTGGTCCAACTGCTGCACTTAGGGCTCAAGGCCACTTAGGGCCGGTAACTACTCAGCCTCTACAGCTGTTAATTCAGGCTATTTTTAGAACAGCGGGCGGCCCTCAGTGCGACTAAAAAAAACACAGCAAAACACACAGCAAACACAGCAGTGCACTATGCAGCCTCGCAGTCAGTCTCCACAGTTAAAATCAGCAAGTCATTGCAGGCTTACCCTCCCGGGGAGCGAGGACCTCCGAGCTAAGGGTGCAGACGAGGTGAACGGCGACGAAGGTTGCCCTTCTGAGCCACTTCATATCGCATAACTACTAACTTTGCTGTCTTGAGAAGTTCCTTTCTTTAGAACCATCTATTCTCAGTAGGGGGCTGGAAAGCAAACCTCACAAGATACTGCCGATCGGGGCTTGTGCCCCACTCATCCTCAATCCATTCCACGTTATATCCCTTGACAGGGATCGGTGGCCCAAATTGGGGGGGCCGGTTTGGGAATGCATCAGCTGGAGTGAATGGAAGCAACTTCGATGCATGGAAGACCGGGTAGGTTCGTAGATGCAGCGGGACATCGATGACATAGGATGGGCCAAATGGATCAACGCCCACTGTATCTAAGACCTGCCATGGACCCAAATAACGAGGCAACAGCTTGGGGGAGATATCCTCCTCCCTCGACAACTCAGAACTGGCTACCCAGACATAATCACCGGTGCGGATGGGGGAAGGCCGCCTGTGGCGATTAGCTTGTTCAATCATTGCCTTTGGGGTTTTGAACAAGTCCGCCCGTGCCCTTTCCACATCTATGCAGTAGCGTCTGGTGAACTCTGCAGTGTCTGGTGTCAGGTCTGACTTAGCCTTATCGACGATATCATCGAGAGGCTGTCGTGGTTCACGTCCCCAGTGCAACCGGTATGGACTGAACCCAGTCGAGGAATGGACAGACATGTTATAAACAAGCTGTGCCCGAGCCAAGTGAAGATCCCAGTCCTGCTGATCTGGAGAGATGACAGGACGCAGCAATTGGAATAAGACTTGGTTCATCACTTCAGTCTGACCATTGGCTTCAGGATGATGACCAGAGGTCATATCCATCGTGAGTGCAGGTAGTCCTTACAGTAGGACTGCCACTCATCACTGCAAAATCGGAGGTCTCTATCACTGACTATAGAAGTGGGCGGTCCATGGTGTGTGACCCACCTCTCTTAAAAGGCTGCTCTCACAGCCAGGACTCTAGCTACCTCTGGCAGGGGGATGAACTCTGCGTATTTGGAGAACCTGTCCACGCAGACCATAACCTGACGCATGCCACGAGGGGTGGTCTGGCCTAAATCTGTGAAATCAATCGACACAGATTCAGCAGGGCCATCAGGTATGGGTAAGGGTTTGAGTAGTCCCAGAGGAGGCCTACGCTGAACCTTGTTCGTCTGGCAAAGCTCACATGTTTCCACATAGTGCAGCATATCACTCCGCATCTCCCTCCAGAAGAAGTGCTGCGACAGGGCTGCATAGGACTTTAAGAACCCAAAATGTCCATGTGCATCATGACACTCTGACATCAGCAGTGTCCTGAGCCGCTGATACAAGCGATCCTCACCTCTGCTGTAGGAAGACAACAAATCTGAACTCGGGATATAGTCGGGTTCAGAGTTGGGATCCGCTTGCAGATTCCTGACTATGGGTCCATAAGTCGGGTCCTGAGGCAGAAGACGAGCAATGGTCTGACGGGTCTCCTCTCCAAAGGAGTGAGTAGAGGAGATCAATGTAAAAGAGTCAAGCCTACGAGAGAGGGCATCTGCTACCTTATTGTAGCAGCCCTTCTTATGCTTCAGTTCAAAGTCAAACATGTCTATGAACTGAATGTATCGTGCCAACTTATCATTTAGCTCTCCCTGGGACTTCATCCACTGTAAGGTGGAGTGGTCTGAAAAAATCTTGAAGTGTCTTCCCAGGAGAAAGTGTTTCCAATGTTTCAGGGCACAAACAAGAGCATACAACTCTTTCTCGTAGGTAGAGTCCTGATGTTTTTGAGTCTTGATCTTCTTACTCATAAACTCTACTGGCCGTATACCATTCCCATCATCTTGCTGAAGAACTGCCGCAATGCCATACTGACTGGCATCAGTGGTCAGGATGAATGGCAAAGTGGGGTTAGGCAATTTCAGCACTGGTACACGAGTCAAGGCCTTCTTGAGTTGTGTGAAGGCCAACTGACAGGGAAGGGACCAAAGAAAATGAGTGTCTTTCTCTGTTAGGTTGGTCTGGGGTGCAGCCACTGCAGAGAAGTTTCTGACAAACTTTCTGTAGTATGAGGCTAAATCCATGAAGGACCCGACATCCCTTACTGTGTGAGGCTGTGGCCACTCCTGAATAGCAGCTATCTTGGTTGCTTCAGGAGCCAAGCCATCTCCAAAGATTACGTGACCCAGATAGATGACAGAGGGAACTCCAAAAGAGGACTTCTCTCTGTTAATCTTATACTGGCTGTCACGTAACGACTGAAGGACTAGAGCCAAGTGCTCCGCATGTTCCCTGGTAGTTCGGCTGAATACTAGGATGTCATCTAGGTAGACAACCATGAACTTGTCCAGGTAAGGCCTGAAGATGCGGTGCATCTCTGTCTGGAAGGTACCTGGGGCGTTGCAAAGTCCAAATGGCATGACCAGGAACTCGTAAGTACCATACCTGGTCTTGAAGGTCGTCTTGTAGACATCCTCCTCTGCCATCTCAATCTGGTGGTAACCAGATTTGAGGTCGACTTTGCTGAACACCGTGCAGCCCTGCACCATATCCAAAAGGTCATCGATCCTAGGAAGTGGCTCTGTAGTCTTCCTAGTGATCTTGTTGAGACCCCTGTAGTCGATGCACATTCTGAATTCTCCATTCCCTTTCTAGACGAAGAGGACTTGTGCCCCAAATCTAGAAGTGCTCGGTCGTATCCAGCCTTTGCTGGTCAGGGTCTCAAGCTGCTTTCCGAGCTCCTCAAGCTCAGCAGGGGACATCCTGTAGATGCGGCCCTTGGGGGGTACCGCTCCAGGTAGTAGCTCAATATGATGCTTGGTTGGCCGGTTGGGTAACCCAAAGGGCTCCTGCATCAGATCAGCGTACTGGTCCACAACCTGATGTATCTCAGGAGGACAGGAAACAGGAGGAGCATCTGTCTGCTTGACCAGAGCCAAAAACAGGCGCTCATGGTCATACTGGCGCGAGAGAGCATAGAACTCCCTCGCTCTCAAACAGTAACAACCAGTTTTAGGGTGGTGTTCAACAACTATCATACATGGCTGGTACACCCCCTGTCTATTAGGCAGTTCAACCTTGGGGATCTGCCAGTTGATCCTTGGGTTGACGGCCTTTAGCCACTGCATAGAGAACACCAGGTCAAAGGGTAAGTCAGGGAATATGTAGAAGTTCAGACTATGTCTGACTTCTCCAGCACTGTCGAAGGTAAAAGGGATACCCCTGACCTTCTCCCTAATGGTAAGAACAGTGGAGTCACCTATTCTGACCAGCAAAGGTTGCTGCAACTGCTGAACTTTCATACCCAGATGCAGTTTCTTGACAGCACTGGGGGATATGAAGTTTCGGGTGGCTCCACAATCCAACAACCCTTTGATCCTGATGTGATTGATCAGAGGCCGAAGTAGGATGAGATCAAACTTGTTTCTCTTTTGTTCCTTCAGGTGAAGGAAGAAAGCAGCAAGTGACTGAAGCTCATCCTGCCCCGGGTCTTGATCCGGGTCAGGATCCTCATAGCAGAAGGATGCTGCCCGTGCAGTCCCCAAACACTCAGACTCTGTCTCAACTGAAGCAGCTGCAGGTCCACCTACATCAGCAGTTGGAAGTGCAGCACGGGGGGGAACTGCAGTCCCTAGGGTCTGCTTCAGTTTTTTGACTGACCTGGGCCTGACATGTAAGGGCAGTCCCTTAAAAAGTGTTGTCCTTCACATCTCAGCCAGACCCCTCTTTCCTTTCTTCTTCTCCACAATCCCTCCTGGATCTTGAGGTCATGCCAGGGGAGAGTGGAGGGATTGAGTGGGTCAGCTGGCATGCGGATGTCCTTCGGCAGGTTAGGGCGCTGGGAGGTAGAAGGACGACGTCCCTTGTCCTTCCCCTTGGAACTGGCTGAGGCTGTGGTGGGGGAGAATTTCTTCTGCTGCGGCAGAACTCCCAGAACAGCCTGAGTCAGGGCCGCTGCAACATCTGTCTCAACAGCTGATCCAGTCCCACCTGATGGTGTATCAGCCTGGGAGTCTGAATCAGAAGCTAATGCAGAACCTGCATGTGCAAAGGCTGCCTTTCCCTTTCTACCACCACGAGGGAAGACACCTTTCCTCCTATCAGAGGAGAGGGCCTGGACATGAAGTCTTGCCTCCATGTCCAGGGCTGCACGGCCAAAGGATCTCCAATCCTTATGCCCAGCATTGTACAAAGCAACAGAAAACTTCTCAGGGGCTGCCTTGCAGAAGTTGGTTAGTAAGTCATCGGCGGACATGACTAAACCAGGGGTGGAAGTTAGCTGCTCGAACTCTGCAAATAACGATTGCATGGAACTGCTGTAATGCTGCTGTCCCAGGCGAGCAATCCTGTCAGCAGCTTTGCGGGCCCGCTCCTTATCTGCAAAGCGGTCTTTCAGAGCCTGTAGAAGACTGTCCACCCCCAATCCCAAAGCCCAATCCTCCATAGATTTCTGCAGACCGCTGGAGGTAGAGGTAGCCCACTTTTGCGCAGGCCCCTCCAGCAGTCCCAGAATCGTAGCCACTTTTGTCTGTTCTGGGCATATGAAGGCCCTCAAGTAAGCCCTGGTCCCCGCAGCCCAATCCCCAACATCAGTCTTTAGGTCATCCCCTCTGAACTTGTTGGGGGCAGGGATCTTGGGACCTCTCTGATCCCCTGCAACAACAGCTGCAAAAGTGGGTTTGGCTGTGGCCTTTTGGGAAGGAGGTGGTGAGGGGAAAGAATGACGTGAACCAGAGGGGGTCGAAGGAGGAGAAGGAGAGGGTTTAGGTTGGAGGACAGGAGACAAGGGAGAAATCAACCGGGCTGCTGTCAGCTGAGCAGTCAAGTCCTGTATTGCCTTCAGGATCTTGGACTGCTGAGCTTCCAGGTTATGTACCCTGCTTTCCAGGCGGTCTAGCCGCTCATCCCAGTTTGTGAAGTAGGAACTGGTGGCCTTGTGCTCGAAAATGGCCCACTCCGCCAGATTCTTGTTCACCTGGGAGCAGCGGTCATCTGTCAAGACTTTGCCTAGCTGCTCCAACAAGTACTCCCTCCTGGAAGTATCTGTTGCAGCCTCTAGTTCGGCTGCTTCCTGCCGCTCGAGTTCTGGTAGCACCGCCTGCAGCTGCTGCAGACTTTCCTGTAGCTCCTTCTTCTTCTGCTGAGTAGCAGTCAGAGGAGTAGTAGGGGTGGAGGTAGAAGGTTGTTGTTCTTCTACCTTCATCACTACTTCTACCTGTGGCTGTTGTTGAGCTCCCTGATCCGCCATTTTCCCTCTTCAGAAAACGAAATAACAGACAGACAGCAGAGAGTATGCAGCGATATACAAATTCCCACAGACACTCAGAAATCGTTGCTATCTCATACACAAAAGTAAGGTGGGTGAATAGGCAACAAGCGATTTGGGTTGGAACAGTCACTTTGGGGTCAAAGGTCAGACAGACAGTTAGTCCAGTAAAATCAATCACACGATTTCCTTTTACTGACCCTGCACCACACTAGAGTTAGCATACACCACTTCAGTAGTTCCAAAGATACCCTAGATTTCCAGAGCCCACTAGAAAACAAGAGTAGTCAGTAGGAATGAAAGAAGATGGCAAGTACAGACAAGAATGATCAAACCAATAGAGCGATTCAGTCAGAGACCCTACATCCTAGCCCAGACTCTAATTTCGGCCTTGATGACTCTGGCGGCCATACCCTAGGGGATGGCGAAGTATAGTATTCACTGTATCTAGTGAAATACTAGAAATCCAATTAAGCGCTTCTGCAGTAATGACTATTTCTGGATTGCGATTTACTGGGAATTGACAGAATTGAGTTCTGACGGACTGAATTGAAGTTATGACTGACCCTAGTTAGCACATACTATAATTAGACTCAACGCAAAATTACAATTCACAGTATCTCTACTATTCCAATACAGAATTCACAGTCTGAGCATCCCAGATCAAGCGCAATACAGTCCGACAGTCACAGAACAACTTTGGATGGAAAAGAGTCAATAGAGGGTAAGAAATGAGCAGAAGGAGGTAGGAGAGTGATGGCTATGGTTGTCATGCAGTCAGCGATTTTCAATTCCAGTCACTAACAGACAGATAGACCATCAATACTAATTAATCTAACCCTATCTGAACCGCTATACAGGGATGTGCATGGAACGGACTCACTTTCAGAGTTCTTGGGAGAGCTTGATGAAGATCTAGCTATGGCAGGCTGAAACCCTCATCTCGCCCAATTCATCCAGAAATTCCTCCTCTGTCTTCCACGCACAAAATCTCTCCACACTTGTTGATCTTCTTCAGGATCTTGATGCGCTACAACCCCTCTAGTCAGATTCACCGGATCTGACCCTGTGGCGCCCAGAGTGCCAATGAGAAATATCTCGCCATAGGACCCCACAGTCGTCGATGCTATAAATAGCCCCAGATGAGGCTATTTTCACCTGAGATTGACACAAACCATCAATCTCCCTCAGCGCTGCTCAGGGATGAAGCCGCTCAAAGGATTCTGAAGTCCTCAGGGGCAATTCGCCACTCTGAGGCAATTCGCAATACTGCCCTCAGGGTTGGCTATGGCGAATTAGCTCTGTTCTTGCCACTTCTTGCAAGCGCCCTGACAGACTCAGTGCGCTTGTTCAGTGCAACCACTGAACTCCTGAATTCACCGCTTGAAATCTTCTTCCCTTTTGTCTCAGTACTAGAGAAGATGAATCGCCATGAAACTTCTCGCCAGTAGTTCGCCAGATGAAGAAGATGTGTCAGTTGCACTCAATCCTCAGTGCTCCAATTCCAATCCCGCTTCGATACCAACTATTATGAACTTGGTTGTCTGATGATTTTTACCGCCACTCACACACAAACAGTCTCATACATGCCCATACATGCGTAAGAGAAGGGGGAGAGGAGACAAAGTCCAAACTGTACACAGATCAGAGTATGTAGCGGAAGTTCAGCCATGCACAAATGGGGAGAAGACACTGCGTGATCCTCACTCTCTTACAAACTCCCAACAACCAATCACAAAAAGAAACCTGCGAGGATAACAATTGGAATTCGCACTGATGACGAGCCAATTAGACCAAATATCGTTACAGAGTTTGTTCTAGTATCTCGCCACACTCAGAACCCCACACTCCACTCTCTACCCTACACCAAGTTAGTAGCGCACAACCGAAACAGCCTCCCAGAGGCCAGCGCCAACCACCCAGATGAAGAACAGATCCTGTGATGGAGTCTTCAGTGCCGATGGACAACTCTGACGAAAAAACAGGCAGCTATAGCTGCCGCCACCCACAAGCACTCAGTGAAGAGCCTCAGCATAGCCTGGCCAGAAGCAGATACCACCAGGGTAGCTACGCTGAGGGTGCCCCAGCTCCGGCAACCTTCAGAAGGGCCAGCTATGGCCGCCATCCTAGGCAAGGGTCTCAGGATGCCGCCTGCAGACAATTGCCACCGCCAACTTGCTTGGCTTCTCCAAACGCTGCTGCGCGAAAAATCAACAGCCAAAAGTCCTAAACAGTCCTACCCCAACCTACNAACAGCCAAAAGTCCTAAACAGTCCTACCCCAACCTACTTGTAGATTTTACACTACCCTAGCCTAGGACCTACCGGTACCGTTTCAGTTAGGGCCTGGTCGGCCTCTACGAAATTGGTCCTACTGCTGCACTTAGGGCTCAAGGCCACTTAGGGCCGGTAACTACTCAGCCTCTGCTGCTGTTAATTCAGGCTATTTTTAGAACAGCGGGCGACCCTCAGTGTGACTAAAAAAAACACAGCAAAACACACAGCAAACACAGCAGTGCACTATACAGCCTCGCAGTCAGTCTCGGCAGTTAAAATCAGCAAGTCATTGCACACAGATCATGGTAATTCTACACATTTGCGGTGAGTTGCACAATCCTTTTCGGAATCAAGTTTGGACTTGGAAAAAGAGATTGGAACCCACTATCACCCATTTACACATTCACGGTTTCTCCGAAAAAAGAAGTCACATGTTCAAACATTCATCCAGAGGCAACGAAGTAGAAACACTGAGAGCTTAACAAGCAGGTGATGAAGGGAAGGTGAAAACATGGGAAGTAGCATAGAAGTCTGGTCGCTCATCCCATAAACAAAATTGACAGGGCTACCGTCCGGTAATTATACACAATAGGTGTTACGACTCAGCCAGGGCTCGATCCCTGGTCCGCGGGTCACCACCCGCCAGGCTGCTATTTCATTTTTGAGTCTCTGATCTCAGGTGCCTGACTGTTGGCGCCCTCTGCAGTTGGCGCCTGTTCTCAAATCCCTCCTCAGGCATTTTCGGATTTTGATACTTGGTGCCATCTCGCCTTCTGGCGCCCAGGCTCAGACCTTCGATTTTCAGTTCAGTCCCGAGGCAAATTGCACTTCTGCCCTCGGTACTCAACTTGAGTTCGGTACTTAAGACCGGACTCAAGCTGAGTTCATCATTCAGTTTTCGGCCTCAGTGCTTGTGCTTCAGTGTGACTTGCTGTGACATTGTGTTCGGAATCCAAGATTGCGACTTTGCGACTTTGCCACTTTGTGTCTGCGTCCGTCGAGTCGTGTCGAGTCCGTGTCGAGTCCGTGTCGAGTTGAGTGAGTGTGTGTGTGTGCTCTCACTCCCTCCCTCTCTCTTCCCCGACCTCGCTGTGCTGCCTCAGCCCCGTCACAATAGGGGCTTTTCATTCCATGGTTCTGTTCAGTATGTTGTACTGTTGAGGCTAGATACAGACATACATACTCTCCTAAGTCTCCTTCTTTTTTCTCTAAATATGGACCATTTCTCGATTTATGTGTTTTATCCTTTGTAACATGCCCAGTCGGGCAATGTATGGGAGCCAAGGATCCGCAAAGTGATGAAAAGGACTCGTATGGACAATGCATTGCCAGCAAAGCATCAACAAGCAATGTACATCAAGATACATATGAAAATGGCACAATGTAGCGCAGCGGAAGACTCAGAGATATGACCTGACCTGTCAGATACTGACGCGACACCCCATCATACACCACACATGTGGGAGAGGGAGGAAGGACCACATACAGGAAAGAAAGGTCCCTCATTGCGCACACACATGGGGGAGATACCACGAATGAGAGATGGGGGAAGGAGGCAAGACGAAGATAGAGGCGAGGGAGAAGACCAAGATCGCGATAGCGAAGTCCAATAATAGTCCCTTGCCGAGTGTCCAATCAATTTCTGCCACAGAATCTCGAATCAGATCCTGGGCGTATGCCTGATGTAACCTCTACCAGTAACCTCTCTCTCTCTTTGAAGAAGAAGAAGAAGAAGAAGGAGAAGAAGAAGAAGAAGGAAGGAGGAGGGAGGAGGGAGGAGGTGAGATGGAGACGAGACGAAGAAGAGGAAGAAGATGTCGTCCTCCTCGCTGTCTCACCTGCAGGGAGCCGCCACCGGTACTGACCGTCATCGTGTCGCCGTCGTGTGCAGGTTGGCGCGTGCGCGGAGCCCAGCTATGGCGCCAGGTAGGTCCGCCACTGCAGGTATGGCCTCCGCCCCTCTGCCTACCTAACCTCTACCTCTAGCCTCCTCGCGCAGCGCTGTAGCATGCAGTGCTGGTCCAGCAGCTTGTCGCCCAAGAAGTGAGCTACTCGAACTGTCTGTGTGCCCAGCCGTAGCCCAGCCATAAGTAGCGCTGCGCCTGGCTGGGCGTGCCTCTGATGCTGGCCAAAAACGGCCCATACGGTCTGGGCCCCTACCGGCCGTCCAGACCGTCCTGCTGATGCAGCAGGGCGCAAAACGCGCCTGGCCTCAGAACGGCCCTGCCCCTGGTGTACCCAGCCCAAGGCATAGCTTGGGGCCTGCAAGTCCGAAACGACGTCTGAACAGACAAAAATAGGACAGTGAAATAAATAAATAAATAAATGCTGTGGCTATTCCGTACCTGCGGCCTGAGGGCCGCCGTGGGCCTCCAGGGCGCGTGTCTGATGGGCACGCGTCCTGGGGGCCCCTCGGCAACCGTCGGGGCCCTGAAATGGGGCCCGTGTGCAGGCTCAGCATGTAACATCCTTGCACAGGGGCCATACTAAGCTTCTCTGTACGGTTGCAACTTTAACGTATGTCCCGAAAGACATCTCCTTGGTTATCTCTGTGCTGTTGATAGTGGATAAGTTTTGAACTTTTTGCAATCAGACTAGACTCCGGACTTGCTCACAACATGCACACTTGAGAAACAATGGCAAACTGAACTCTTCAAACTCAGAAACAACAATGAACTTGTATTAAACTCAGTTTGAATCAACTGTACAACTTGCGGCTATGGCCGCCGAACACAGTCTCTACCACCAGCCTCACTTCCCCACACTCTTGCATGCACAAGGATCACCCTGAATGTCCACGCTGTCCACACACACACACTCTGTACACTCTATCTACACCAGCAGCTGGGCGGCTATGGCCGCCGGCGTCTTCCTCCTCCAAGCTATGACCACCAGTGTCTCCTTCGCTGGTTCGCTATGGCCGCTGTCTTCTTCACAGCCCACTTCTTCTCCGGGCACCTGCAGTCCTCCACGCACAAGATACCAATGCAGCTCTTCCGCATGGCACACAGGCGAATGAATGAATGGCCGGACGCTGCCTGTTTATTTATACTTCAGTGGAGGTACCTGGGCCTGCCTCAAAACCTGTGGGCCTGGGCCAAAACGTGTGGCCCAGGGAAGCTTCCAGACGTTTGGCCTTCTGGGTCAAAACGTGTGGAACCCACAGCGGGGTCCAGAACTTTTCCCACGTGCAGCCCCTACCCCTGGTACTTGCTAACTGGACTGGCCTACAGGGACCTACGACCTTCCAGAGCCTACACTCTCACAGAGACTCTAGGCCTCAGTAGACTCAGATAGTGTTACATGCTGCGCCTGTAACAGGCTGCACGGGCCATTTTTCAGGCCCGTGTCGTTTTCAGCCCGGAAGCCTGAAAACAAGGGCCTACAGGCCCTGTGTCGTTTCAGTCTGAAAGCCTGAAAACAAGGGCCTACAGGCCCTGTGTCGTTTCAGCCTAAAACAGGGCCTTCCCGGCCCTGAGTCTTTTCAGCCTGAAACGGAGGGCCATTTTCAGAACCTCATCAGATCGACCTGCCCTGAAACTCAGGCACCAGACCAGGGTTTTAGCACAGGCCATTTCAAGACAACCCTTGGTTGAGCTTCAGCGCCAGGGTCTGGCACGTTTTGGCATTGGCAAGAGCAGCCTCCTGGATGCCAGCACTATATAGGACTGGCCCGCCCTGCAGTCTGCAGGTAGTTCCTAGGTACTTCCCAGGCACTTCACGTGCAGTTCAGGTGGCAGGAGGTAGTCTTCAGGAGTCGGCAGCAGCACTCTGGAGGAGCGCTGGAGGAGGAGTAGTAGCGCTAGCAGTAGTCTTCAGCGCTGGGCGCTAGTAGCGTTAGCAGGTAGTCTTCAGCGTTGGGCTCTGGTAGGAGCTAGAGTAGTACTGGAGCGAGAGAGAGATTGGGTGGAGGCCAGGGAGACTTACCTGCAGTGCCATAGCTCCAGCTTCGTCTTCGAGGTACCTGCAGCACAGCGCCATCTTCACAGGTGAGTACCTGGCACATGAGAGAGAGAGAGAGAGAGAGAGAGAGAGA